TCCAAAAACGCTCTGTGCACACCTGAAAGTGAAAAGCAAAACTTCTGCAGCCTGTGTTTCATTTGCGTCAGTTGTGCAAGTCATGAACAGGAATCGCAACTGATCAGATATTCCTTGGTAAAGGGAAACTTAGTCTATTTCCAGCAAACCAGGAAAAAATCCAATTGCCTATTTTCAGAAAAGCCATGCACACAAGCAGTTGTATGACTGTAGTAATGCCGCTGCATTTTCTGGCAGCGCACTTCGCGCACAGACTTGGCACGGAGGAAGCGCGAAGGAGAACAGCGCAGGCGGTGGGGAGGCTCTGCGAGGCATGAGCACACAGGTGCCAAGCACACACAAGGACAAAAAAGTCTTTTAGTTTTCTAAAAATAAGAGCCTACGAGATAAGAAGCACAGTTAGCCAGACTGCAGCATGCCCTGTTTGAATTTTAACAATCATTGAAGGGAGATTAATTACCAATATGTGGATATCTTGTAGAGAAACAGTATGAGGTAGAAGAAATGTGCATTTTCCCGAAGACATTCAGCATTTTCAGTGAGCATGACCAGCATCCACTCTCTGCTTTGCTGGCCATTAAAATAAAGAACTTGATCTTAGCAGTAGAGTAATGAAGCTCCCTACAGTTTTCAAGCATACACTGAATAGGACAGTAAGACATTGAATCTTTATACAATGGCCAAAAGTAGACAGTGTAATGTAACATTTACAGTTCATGTGTGGAGAAAAACCCTATAAAAATCTTATAAATCTTTTCACACAGCAATCAGGCAGATGAAACTCCACCAATATTCACATCCTAAGACAGAGGAGGCACCATCCAAGTCCCAGTTCCCACGCTGGCTTACTGCACCTTCTCTTCCTCCAAACTGCACCCACAATGGACCCACCTTCCACTTCAGAACAAAACACCCATCCCTAATTATCTCCCTACTTCCCTTCAGAGCACTAAATTACTTCCCCAATGAAGTATATTTCATGTTCTTTTTAATTGAGTCACATGTGCTCTGGATTTTTCTAAATTGTATTTTGTGACACTCAAACAAGATACTACAAAATTTAACATGCTCCCCAAGCAAATGGTAAAAGCTGCTACAGCCAGAAAACCTTGTGCCCTGCACATAGAGCTCACTATATGAAATTCACATAGTATCACAAAACATATGATAGAAACAATTTAATGAACAATTAGGTCTTCTTGTTAAATGCAATGTTAAATATTGACTATAACAAATTCATTTGAGCACATGCAATTCCAAGGCTGATAGTCTCAAAATGGCTTTACCTGAAAGAAGCAGGCATGAAGAGGAAAGTGAACTGAAATTTGTTTTCCATCAGTCCTGAACATGACAGAAAAACTCCCTCCACCCTACTTTAGTGGAATTCAACAGAGCATTGAAACCAATACTGAAATTTTCATGCTATTTCACATCAAATACCCTGCTTTTATGACCTCTCCAACTATTAAATGCCAAGAAATCCTTAGACAGTTTCCTCCTTCAAATCCCTGGAAAGGGCCTGGAAAAGAGTCCCTGGGGAAAAACGAAAAGCTTGTGTTTTTCCTCTCCATCCTTGAGTGAAAGTTTTGTGATAAGGGCCACAAGTGTTTTGACAACATCATAATCTACACACAATTTTGCTGTGTGCCTGGATACACTACCAAGTTGAGCAATAGGTAAACAGCTTTTAGCTGTCCAAAATTAGTCCACTTAAAAACCCCAAATCAGCCATCTGAAGAGCCAGCTGTGGAGCAACGCATAAAAAAAAAAAACTGCACCAGAAAATATCGTACATGCAAAAGACAAAAAAAAATCTAAGCAAAATGAACTGTTTTCTTGGTGGAAAATTCTCATCTACCAAGCTTATTTTAAGCCCTGAGCATCCATTCAGTGGAAAAAGAACCATAAACCAGAATATTCTCCCCTAAAAGCATGTCAAAATGTTATACAACCATAAATGTTGATTTTATTTCATTTTCTGCACAAACCTATCAACACTACAAGAATCAGAAAAGCAGTTCTTTGCCCTGCTTTCAATGTTTTCACTGAAACATTTCACTTGTTCATCATCTTGCCTGATGCAGCAGATGAGGATTTTTTGGTGCTTTTTGCTGGTTTTAATTGAAGAGAGTTTTTGTTGAAGGAGATTTTGGGCTTAAGGCAAGGAAAGCCTCCACTCTGGGGAGAGTCCCGGGCTGTCCCCAGCCAAGGCAGGCACAGGTCAGGGAGCTCCAGGTGACGCCAGAGCTGACTCACAGGCAGCTCCTCAGCACACCCTGTACCACGGTGAGCTGCCTGCACATCTGCAGATCACCACCGGCTCCATCTCAAATCCTCAAAGATTTTCTAATTCCTGCTTCTCTCCTCGCAGGAGAGGCCCTGGGGCCTCCAAAGCAGCAGCAGAGCTCCTCTTGTCCCTTCTCCTGCTCTTTGCTCAGCCCCAAGGCAGCTCCATCATTCACACATGGGATGAGCAGGGCGCTTTGTGAACGCTGGCTGCCAAGGGATTCACGGGTTTGGAGATAAGCAGGTTCTTGATTACTTTTTTTCTGCTAAACTGGGGATGATCTGTGCAGCAGCTTAAGTCACAGCAACTTTTCATTGATGCCTTGTGAGTTACCTCAGCAAGCTCTTTAAGCACAAGGACAGCAAGAGGTAGCTATCACAGCTACATAACACTGAATGAACAGGGTCATTTACTTCTACAAAGAATTTTAAGAACATTTTTAGAAAGAATAGCCATTTGTGGGTTTCCTGAGATAGAACAGACTTTCTGCTCCCCCAAGCATCTTTCTCCCCACCCATTACAGCAGAGAATTCAGTTGTAGTACCTTGTTTTTTGAAACCTGTAACACAGACTTCTAGATGGGCTCCCACTACCACAGCAGCATTAGTACTCCCCAAGCTTTAACAGAAATGTGATTTCTCAGCTACATCTCAAAACAGAGTTAATTTTTCCATGGCTGTATTATATTTGTGGCTCACAGCACTCCCTGTTCCTCCCCAGCATTTCCCACTGCTGAGCTCCCAGCTGATAGCAGAAAGCTCGTGTCACGAGTCCCTAAAAATATAACATTGCTCAGTGGCAATGTTAAGTCCCATCATATTTCTGTTACTCCACTTCTTCCTTTATCACATCCCAACCCTCCTAAGGTACTAAGAATGCCTCCCAAACTGGTGTTACCAAAAGTGTTTGTATGTCCAAACCTTATTGCTGGACCTTGCCCAGTTGAAACCAGTTACAAAGACATGGCTTCAAAAATTACTACTTTTGTTAATTTCTCTTTGAAATTATTCACAGCTACATTGTATTTTCTAAATGGGTATATCCTGTATGTGCCAAAATGACTTTCTTTCACTGGAAAAATGAAGAGGGAGATTACTTTAGCTTTGAAATCTGCTTGGTGTTGCTGGAGCAGTTCAGCCAAACCTACTGAATGACCACAGAAGAGAAGCCCTGTAGTCAAGGCACTACACTTGCACAAACCCACCATACTCAGGCTGTCCTTGAGCAGCGCTCCCCAAGAACACAGCTGTGCACCTCCCTGGGAAACAGTGCAAAAACCAGCAAAAGACAACTTGGAAAGTCTGGGTCCATCAGGGAAAGCACAGCCTACCAGCCAACACAGCTTTAAAAATAGTTTCAGATAGATGACTCAAAGTTTAGGTAGCTGAAACCCCAATAGGTCTTACCATGCAAATCAAACCCTGTACACCATCAGCTGGGAGGTGGCTCCTGGGAGTCAGGAGTTTTCTACTAAAAGCAGCAAAACCGAAAACACACAGCTGTGGTCACAAGTACATGTGAAAAAACAAAGAGATGAAAGTACATTTAGCTAATGCTTCAACTTGGGAGTCCCCAGGGCTACCTCCATATAGTAGTGTGTGCTCACTGCCAAGGGTAGAGACTTAGTTACCCTGCCTTGAGATAAGGCTCCTTGGAAAGTTGTTCCTTGGAAACATACGTGCATCCACCCCTTTCACTGCTGACAAAAACATGAACTTCAACCAGTGTACATTGACCAGTGATATAGATCATCGTGTCTTTCTCTTACACAACCAGAAGGCAAGGTACTTCCTGATGCAATAGCTGCAGAGACCTCATTAGGATCCCATCCTCAGGATCCCGCTGCCAGGCAGAGGGGCTCACAGCTGCCTTCAACTCCAGCCACACACAGCTCCTTTGCCTGCAGTGAATGCACGGGAATGGGCAAACATTGGCACTTAAACACTTCCAAACTCGTAACTCCATTAGGAAACGCTTAGCTTCCATGCAATTAAGCCTGAAGTAAAATTTTATATGTAAAAACCTGACTTAGTTTCATTCACATAAACAAAAGTGACATTGAGGAAGAACTGCTGCCTTATGCCAACATAATCAGCTCATATCCAGTCATGAGCCCACCAAAAATAAACATTTTAGAAAATGCATTTGAACCTACAGCAATACTTTTGTTCCTTTTTTTCTATAGGGTTTCTGGGGTAGAGTGGGAAAGAAGAATGCGGGAAGACTATTTCTGAATAGACATAAGGTGCGAATAAACATAAGGAAGATGCGATTCCATTAATATATTCAGTTCTTCCCAGATCCCTCCCCCTCCTTTCCAGTGCAGAGACTGAAGAAAACGCATCTGCCCCGGCAGAAAGCTCGGTCATTCGGCTCTCTCCAATCCGTAACCCCGCGTTCCCTTCTCCTCCAGTGGCACCCCGCGGGTCGCTGCACCCACCCGCCGGGGCTGCCTGTCCCCGCACCGGGCCCGCGGGGACGGCGCATCCCGGCGCCCAAACGCTCCGCACCGCCCGGCGGGAGCTGCCCTCGGGGGGATGCTCCACCAGCCCCTCCGGAGGATGCTTTATCCTCCGAAGTCGCTCCCTCCCCGCGGCTCCCACCCCTCCTCCTCCCCTCCTCGGGGGGAGCAGACATTTTGAGGCAGCGCATCCCGAACGCCGCCGAGCCGCAGCGGTGCGGGCGCGGGCGAGGCCTCCGGGGCGCCGCTCACCTGCCAGCTCGTCGGGCTCCAGCCCGCTCTCCGCGTCGATGCCGCACAGCACGAAGTAGTGGGCGAAGCGGCAGGGCGCCGCGCCGGGCCCGGCGTTGCCGCTCCCGCTCATCCCGCCGGCGCTCCCGGCGCTCCCGGCGGCGGCTCCGTGCGGCGGCGCCGCTGTCAGCTGAGCGGGGCGGGGACGGGCGGGACGCGCCGCGCTGCCCGACCGCCCCCGCGGGGCATTTAAACCCTGCGCGGCCGCCCCCGCCTCGCTCCTGCGGGCCCGGCGTGTCGCCTTTGTCGCCCGTTGTGTGCGCGATCCTTGGCACACGCGATTAAAGCCTCACGCTGCCCCGCGTGCGAGCAGGAGAGGTTGGCTTTATTTAAATAAAGCTGCGGACGGTGCCACTTCCTATCGGGAATGTCTCTCCCCCCCGCCCCAGGAGGGAGCTCCCGGAGCCCCGCTGCCGGAACGGGCCGAGCCCCGCCCGGCGCCCGGGCTGCGCTGAGCGCTTCCTGCGGGAATCCTGCCGCGGGAAACGGCTTCTTCTCCTCCCCAGCCCATTGTGGAAGCAACGGCCACCACCCGCGGCGGATGGCTTTGTGCTGTCTCCATCCCCGCGCTGTGATGGATGGCACCCGTACCACGTTACGGGAGAGCTATTTCTTGGCTACTCGCACTCCGTTTCAAGGCAAAAATCTAAAATGTTGCTTCGTTCCTAGTTTACTTAAGATTTACTAGCCATTCTGCTGCGTCCAGAAATAAGTCAGCATTATTTTACCCCCGCTGCTAGAATCCTTCTCCTTGGGATCACCCGATGCCAAAATACTGGCAGCCCTGTCCGCGAGCGGCACCTACTTTTAAAGGGGCAGAGATTATTCTTTTGACGTTGTAACTTTTTCTTCTCCAAATTGACAAGATCCCCCCATATTTCGATAATTCTGACATCTGGATATCATAATGATATCATATCATTCAGTGTATTCCAGTATTCTGGATATGATATCATTCAGTATTTTCACTTTTATCCTTTTGTTTCATCTGGTTTTTACTCTTGGTCCATGCTACCTGAAATAATTACACTGTCATCATTTTCTTACTGTGGACTCCTATGACCCCTTTATTTTACCTCTTAGCAGTGTGAATCACATATTTTCTTTTTATGGTTTACATTTGTCCTTGTTCAACAAATGCCTTTGATAAGAAAATGCCTACAAGGAAACTGATAAACCATCTACCTTGTGTCATTTTATGGAGGTACATGGAGTAACTGTCTGACCTGGAAACCACCTAGGTCAGCATCTCTCTCTCTCTCTTCATCCCATCAAATTAACAAATTTTATTCCCTTTTACTTCTTAGCTTCCCCTAGTGTCCTAGTGAAAGCAGACAACAGCTAAGCTAATTTTTTTTCCTTCCCAATAACCCCATTTTCCAATATTTTTTTAATTATAAAGAAGACAATCCTCTCTCACAATCTCCAATTCTTGTAGCTGCAGCACTCAGTAACTACCTGAACATTTCTGGAGCTGCAGAGAAATTTTCTGTGAGACCAGTAAATTTCTCGACTTTGCACCAGAGCTAGGTTGTTTTATTTAGTTTGGTTTGTTTATTAACTTGTATGTCTTTGCTTATTCAGCTTTAGGTCAGATGGTAAGAGCTTGACAAGTCAGCCTCTGACTCTCATTCAAAACCAAGTGCTTATATTGTAGGTATGTTTGGTTTTTGAGGCCCAATGGCATGGATGTCTCCAGGAAGTCCAAGACAGAGGCTTCATCAGCCTCTCTAAAGGATGCATGAGTTAAGGCTGCTTCTAAAAATAACCCCAAAATTAACACAATGGTTCTGACCTCTTTACCTTAAGAAAAAAACAGCTGCTGGTTCTAGGTTGCTTTGGTTTAGCTGTCTTCTGTACAGGGCATTTTTTTCTTGCATGAAGTTCAGTGCATAGACACCTCAATCTCAGTAAAATCAGTACTGCATATAGCATTAAACAAGAGGAAAAAGCACAACACATGGGATTGAAGGTGTAAAATTAAAAAACTCATTATTCCTGGGTTAGCTGTGAGGTTGAGCTCCCACTCCCACTTCTATACATCCAGCTGCTGCAGACACTTTTTTGTGGGGGAATATTGTGGGGGCACTGATTTGTTCTCCTAAGATACCCGATCTTCTGGGCACAAAAGTCATCCTAATGAGGCCACTCAGATCTTTTGCCAAGCAGTGCCAGCAAATCCAGCTTGCCTGGGCTCTGGTAAACCATGTTACATCCCCAGGCCTGGATTTTCTCACCTAAACCCCTCCACCTAAGTTGTTCCAATATTTCCCTCCAAGCTGATCTAGCTTTACATACTGCACGCTGCCTTTGGGTATCTCTTTGTCACTCTCATGGGGTTTTTCCCACCTCCATCCTGAGTCTCATCCCAAGGAATCTGTAACTTTTATTACATTTTAGCAGAACCTAGGCGTTTTGGTTGTCCTTTCACCATCCAAAACCACCCTGTGCTGATCACCAGTGCCTCCTTAAAAAGGCTGCCCTGCTTTCAATACTTCTGCTCTACTTGCAACATCGAGTGCTTAAATTTTACAGAAGTCACAGCAGGTCCACAAAGGTGCTGTGGAGCTTCTTGCAAGAGTGAGAGAAAAACATCACAAAGTGCTGCACATACTAACTACATATATACTAACTAATCAGGCAAATACCATGAGAAAACATTTGTACAGCCTGGGAAGCAGCAGTGCCTGATAGGATTGTGCCCTGAGACATATCTAGGATGATCAGAGATAACTGGCTGGGATTATGAGTATTTTTTCCTTTCACCAACAAAAAGTGTTGAAGTTCCACAAGGGATTTGAATAGGATGGGTGTCCTCTAATCAAATTATATTAACAATAACCCCAGGCAGATGAGGTTTGTCCCTGGCACAGCAGAACACAAAGCAGTGTCAGAACTTCTTATGTGTTGCCCCGAGGAATGGGGATAAGTTAGGACTGAGGATTTCAGACTAGGACAGGCACAAAAAACTTACTGGCATAGACCAGATCTGCCTGTGACCTTTCACTTTGGTCTGTTCTCCCGTGGCAGCAGCTTTGTTCCTTTACCAGCTGGATTGCCACCTGTACAACAAAGTAAGGGAAGGTTTTTGGCTCGGCAGATTTGTTCTTATTCCTTAGGTACTTGTATCTCTAGTTGCCATGAATATTTCTCTCAATTCAATTTGGTTCAGGTTTCCCTCTCCGTAACCTCTCAGTGAGTTTTTGCTCCTCAGAACCTGTTAGTTTAAACTGGGTCAAATGCTAACAAGCATGTTAGCTCCTCCTGCCCTTAGGATCTGCCATAAAAGATCAGACCGTCAAGCTCTTTGTCCTACTTTTGCAAGAAGCCAATGCCGAATGCTTCTGAGAGGTGGAAGAACCTGCTATTTAAAGGTTACATCCCTTCCCCTTGCTGTGACACTGTTGCTTCACTTTCTATTTTCTTCATCATTCTTGCATGCATTGGAAATCATGCTGCTGTGATGGATTGCTCACTCTTCCACTTAGCCCCACAGTTCCCTCTCTAAGATCTTTCACAAGCTGCCAAGTCACATTGATTTTCCATTGAAAGACTCTCCTGTCTTTCTCTTGTATCTATGGGGTCATGAGATCCTGTAGGATGGAAGGAAGGAAAACCACTCAGATGCAACACAAATGTTGGTAATGCTCAGGACATTTCAACCCCTGGCTGACTTTCAGTGGAGCAGTGTTGTCCACTCCTTCACGAGGAGCTGGATGTGAGTAGTCATGGGATAAAGATGGGTTAAGGATGGACTGTAAGACTGAAATCCAAATCATTCTGGCACAAAGTGCAGAGTCTGTAGCAGAAGTTGAAAAAAAAAAAAACAAAACAACAGCAGAAGATTTTATAAAGAGGTTCATAAAGAATGCAATTTTCATTCTCTGAGCTTATGCAAGAAGACTGCTTAGAGCATGGGAGAAGTGGCTGCCTTAGGGTCTAAACCCAAATAAACCATAAGGCATAAAGCAAAGAACACTTCCTTCAGCTTAATCCATCATTGCTTGGAAAGCAGATACTGCAGGCACATATTCTAATATCTTATCAAATTATAATACTATTAAAGCAAGTAGCTCACCTTCTATAACTGCCTCATATCTATACAGATTAAACTTAAATAAAAGCACATGGTTTTCCTCTGCCACATTGTGTAATTATTATTCGTCCAGCAGACTTACAGATAAAGTAAAACATGATTACTTTCTGGAACCTCTGCCACAGACCTCTGAAGCTCCAGTGATTTAAAATTTGAAGGTTTTAAATCTCTAATTCCCTATTGTAGCCCATTGAATGTTATTAATTTTATGTACATTCATCATACACACGCCCTTGCATTGCAAACACATATAGATGCATTTAGATGCATTCCACTGTTATCTGCTTTCTGAGAATCCTTGGGGGAGAGGTTTCATGAGGCAACTGAAATTATGCAATAGTTTATTTCACCTTCTTCCCCCCTCCTTCCTGGGACTGGCTCTGTGCTCCCACTGCTTCCTTCACAAACAAATCTGTAGCCTTGTCTGCCTCTCCTGGGTGCATCCAGTTCACCATCAGCAAACAGATCCCAAAATACAGGCAGGGATGGAACTGTGTTTTCTGTTTTCATCCACATCACCATCATGCTGCAAGCCAGGCTTCTCAGCATGCAGCTCAGCCCTCTGCTGAGGAGGCAGCTCTGCTTCAGGGCTGGCCTCTCTGGCCTTTCAAACCTCCCCCCATCCTGAATCAGCCTCCTCAAGGGTTTGGTCTTGGAGGGGGGAAGTGACAGCAACCCCCCCAAGCAGATAGGGTACACAGAGGTCAGACTTCACACACCGTCTCAGAAACCACTCCTAGGCAAGTCCTGCGGTTGCCAAGCCTGGTTTCTGGAGGTTTGTGTCCTTCACCACCCAGCTCTTTCCTTTCCCTGTGTTCATTGGCATTGTATGGCAAAAATCTGTGGTGATTCCTGCCATTTTCCTCCACTTCTGCCTGTAATTCTATACTGAGCTTGTGAGATGCACCTTCTCCTGCCAAGCAGGTGAGGGCTTGCTCTAGTCCCTCACTCCATGAAGTCAGGAGAAAGATCATGTGTAACCATTACCTTTAGTATGGTTCACTGCCAAGATCCTTGG